CTCCACTGGTCTCTGGCACTGCCCTCTTGAGTTTAACACTATTTTTCTTATTTTTACAGACAATTTGACTCTATCTACAGCATCTGGATTTTGTGGCTGTGTCTACAAACTGCTCTTAGTAACAGAAAGCTTTGCAGTTGGCCATAAAATGCACACACTGAAACCATCACTACAAGACAATATACCATTTGAAGGTTCTGTGAGGCAGGTTCCCCAATCCAAATCTCTGCTTGTGTAACATGGAGTGATGTTTCCATAATATTAATGAACTGCAGTGAGTTGTCACACAACAGTCTTTTCTTCTAAAAAGGTACCTATCAGCTCAACTTTGGCTGTGGTCAGTCACCATTTCCATCATAAAGTTCTACTTTTTTGTGCTTATAAAATATGGCAATAAAATATCATGCCAAGACTAAACTTGGCATACAAGTTCTGTCCAGAACTAACCCCAATTAATCTGTTTCAGCTAGCAAGTAAACTGACTTAGTCATTTTTAAACCACTTGAAAATGAAAGCTGTAGAGGTTCTGGTTTTCATCATTTTCTTGCAGTCACAGGTTGGCAGTTTCTGCACCCCTTAACTACTCAGCTAAAGCAGTTTGCAAGAACCCCTTCTCATCCTGAATGTCCTGAAGAGGCTTCGCACCACAGATGGGATTACACACGCTGCTCCCTGCCTCGCCTTAGCTATAGAGAGTGAGGCTGAAGGGAGACGTTATAGCTGGATTACTGCGGGCTGTTTGGAGCTCAAAACTGAATATAATAAACTCGGGTGTTTCCCATTTGCACCACTGGAGATGCCAGCTGCAGGAGGAGGGACCTCACAGCCTTGACAAGCATCTCTCAGACACACCATGGAATCACTTGAAGTATTTCCAGGCAACTATATAAGAGGTACCTACTTTCTTCATTCTACTCTTTCATGAACTGCTTATGGAGAATTAGATTGGTAGAAATCAGTCTGGCAAAGTGTTCTGGAACACTAAATTTTATCAGAAGGACAGTCTACTACAATACTTGCTCAGCCATTTTTTGGAGAGTAAATGTAACAAAGATATTCTTCAAAAGTTGTTTTTCTTTGCACTTAAATCTAAGCTTTGTCTGCTCTCTGCACCATCAGAGATTTGTGGTCTGCAGCTGTTTAGAGGCTCTCACTTGCATTAGGATTCCACTGTGTTGTGTGTTATTCAGCCCTTCACAACTTCCAACCCTGAACCTGCAATTGAACCCAACATCCATCAGGTTTCATCAGTGCATCCTAAGGGCAAAGAAGTCTTTGCTAATGGACACTACTGCGAGACCTGATCTTCATCCATATGTGATGTGTGATTTGTTTTCCCATCGGCAGAGTTCCAAGAACAAAGAGGGAAAATAAATTATTACTCTGAATATCTGCCCCATTCTGATTAATCATGCCCATGACGCATATAAAGACTTCTTGGGAGCACCATTTGTTGCTATCATCAAGTCTCAGCTGCTGTCTTTTCTAGAGCATTTCAAACTGTACATATACTTCACAGTTCAGCTTTTCTGTTGCTACAATGTGTTAGCAATTAATGTACAATAAACAAGCAGACAATTGTTTCATTTCCAGGGAATAAAATCTCCAAGGATATAAAATGGAATAGAAACTATCCATCTTTCCCCATATCCTGAGAGTTAAAAATACAGCAAGCAATTAAGTCCCCAAACGCACTACGTGGTTTAGGCCATAGTTAAACAGCCACTTCAATTTGGCATATGCTTTTACTGCTCCCAAAGTCTTGACCTCTCCTTACTCTTAACTATTCACTCCCTGCTTCTCCTTGGCATTAGCACACTGAGCAGGACATTCGAGCAACTCCATGATAAGGTGGGCCAAAGAGTTATCTACCAAAACCAAGAGTTTTTTGCTTAGCTTAGCTTTCAGCTGGGTCAGCCCCCCTGATGTGACTCACTGTAGTACCACATAAATGCCAAAGGAGGAAAGGGTGAGATGAGGTGAGGATTGCATAAGCTGGGGTGACTGCCAAAGGCACGCTCATGCAACTACAGCCCCAGTCTTATTCCTGGGGCAGAAATGTGAGAGGGAGCCTGCTTTCTCTACCAGCTCCCCTTTGGCAGTGGCAGCCTCCCAAGTCCTTGGGGTCTGGAGCAGCTTCTCTGGGCAGCAGGATTGCTAAAAGGTGCTGGGAAAACCCCAGCAACGCAGCGCTAACGAACAGCACTTGTAACGGGACAAACAAATATAACCAAAGGACATCACTTTGATCTCATGCAAGGCATGAGATTTCTCCTCTGTCAAGATGTTATCATTGCTTCCCAAGTTCAAACGCTGAAGGAAGAGCTTATAGGGTTGACAAAATGGACCCTAAGAATATGACGAAGAGAGCAAAATTAAAAATCATAATGTATCATTACACTTTCACTTGCAAATCTGCTTTTCCCCAAGCAGAGCCTGTGCTCAACAGCCAGAGGTCACTAAAAGATGAGGATTTTCCCACTGCCTGCAGTGAACTTCACTTTGAGCAGGAAAAATGTCAAACGCAGCTGGCTTGCGGTTTGCATCTCTTTCAAGCTCTGCATTGCCCTTTGTTCTGCATGAAACTTAACTCTGGAAAGCCAAGAGAGACTTGGGGGCTGCCCAAACAGTTTGACAAAGACTGACTTCAAGGAAGTGCATTTGCCTACTGCAAAGTGCATTTGACTTCTTTAAAAATGTCACTAAGGCACCCATTACTTCTGCTCACTGCAATATTTGTTTTATTCCTACCTGTTACAAAGCTGCTACACTCAATATGGCTTGTTACAGGAAGGAAAGTGTTAACTGGTTGAATGGACTCTAGAATCACCTTGCTCCTGGAAAGGCGTCTCAAAGGAGTGAGAGTGATGCTGCTACAGTCCTGCTACATGCTGTTTGTAAGCAAATTGATGCTGGTCTTCTTAGAAGACTGCTTCTCTTATTTAATGGTACCTTACAGGGTCAAGGAAACGAAATTTTAATATAACAAATCTCAAGCATCTCTATGTTCCACAGGCTGACAAAACTACTAGTGTACTAACTAAATGTACTTCACCAGTCACATCTTTAAAACAAAACCGCTTAAAAAGCAGGACTACATTATGATGTCACTTACTTTACACTAATTTTATTATGAAGCTAGAAAAATGCAGCAGACACCTTAAAAATCTGTTTGAGATTATTCACTATATTTGTTCACTATATATTTACGTTTGATTCAGAAACACTGATGATCGCCTTTATCACTTGTGAGATGTTCAGCTGGCCAAAAACCCAATAATGCATTGTAACCACAATAACTTTGTAAAGGAAAACTCACACCGTGTGCCCCATAGAGCCAGGACCAATTATGTACTGTTCTTACTTGCAGTTGCTTGGAACTGCACACACTCTCCAGGCCCCAAAAAGCACCTTTCTACATCCAGCTTGCCCCTGCACCTGAAGGAACACTCTGGCTCTAAACAGGCTGATGCTTCTCCCACACTGGGAAAATGTTCAGCTGACCACGTAGAGCAGATTTATGGGCCCTCTGTATCAGTCTGACAACTCCAAAGGACTCGGGCAGGAACAAGATTTAGGCCTATAAATACTATTATTTGAAGATCTCTTTCCACTGGCTACAAATGAATTCAGTGTAAAAGAAAAGCACATAGTTAAAACTGGAAAAACTACAGAGCTGGGTTTTCAGAAATGCTCTGTGTTTGTCTAGTCCTGCTCTAGTTTGGGCAGGTTAAGCCGCATAAGTGAGCGCTTTTGGAAGTCAAAACATGACTGTTCACTGAGGCTCTGGAGTAATTGCTTCTTGGAGGAAGATGGTACATGCGTTAAAATGTATGACATGCTACATAATAAAAACAGAGGTTGTGCTCTTTTGCAAGTCTCGTGGTAAGAAACTCAGCTGTTTTGCTCTGCACAGGTTCCCCTAACTGTTCACTTGGTTTCCATCCATCTGGATTTTCACCACAGAATTTTGCTTTGAGTTTCCAACTTGAATACAGGAAAGCTGTGCCAAAACCACATCACATTCAAACCACAGGAAATCATGAATTTGGCACTGTTTTGACATGGAAGCTGTAAACAGTGTGCAGGTTCACTCAAAACTGGATCACTGTCCTTTGAGTTATGAAACACACCAAAACTTCCAGCTAACCAGGTCAGAATTCTGAATTATTAAAGCAAGGAAAAATTATGTGACTTTTGCACGGATCATGATTTTATTATAAATATTTTCCCCTAGGTTTTTCCTTTAGCTATAAACATACTATGTGGAAGAATAAAAAGAAAAGTTGGGTTTCCTCCATTCCAAGTTTGAGTTAAAAGAGAATTTAGCTAATTCTCATAGCTCGAGTATACACGTATCCTGTTGAAGACAAAGCTACTTTCCTGTTGGCAGTCTTGAGCATGAATAACTGTACAAGTCAGAGTTTTAATGAAGATATGAATATGGTTTCATTTTATGTACAAAATGATATGTAGTCAACTTACAGCTAACTTACACCACTGCTACAGGAGCAAGCCTCCCGTTTAAAATCCACTAGATCTTCAGCTGCCAAAAACTGGATTTTTCCCCCAGGATTCCCGTTAGCAAACCGCAAGGAACTTTTATGAAAATGGAAAAGTTTAAAGTATGATTTTTGCCTTCAAAATAAACACTGCCCTAAAGAATCATATTTGTCAAGAAGTCACAAGTTCATTGGGGACGAAAGGCAAACAATCTAGATTTCCAGAGCAAGCCTGAAAACAATCTAGATTCCAAACCTAACCAAGCCAGAAGTTTGAATGCAGAGCTACATGAAGGTGGTTTGACTGAAGTAAAATAAACAGAAAGCAAATTGTAGTCATGCAAAAGAAGACTTATATCACTGCACTGCCTGCAAGAAAAATGCAGTTCAATCTTGCTGAATTTCATTTTTTACCAGATTTTTAAACCGGGCATTTTGAACGTCAGAAAATCTGCAGGGATCCGTAACACACAGAACCATACATCAGACATATCTGACCTGTCATAGAGTTTTCGGATGTACATAGTTGCTCTCGCAGCTTTTCCACATCGTCTGGATGAACCTGTTCGTACAAAGTGCTGCCAAACCATTCAGACTGCGGCTGGTTCAGCACAGGAGTCACAGAGTCTGATACGTAGATCACTCTTCCCGTCTCAGCTGCAACTACAAACAGGAACCCATCTGCAGCCTCCAGGATAAGATGCTTCAGTTCCTTCCAAAGAAAGGATTTGATTAGAATGCCAGCAAGAAGAGGGAATTAAATAACACATCTGTCACTGCCAAAGAATATTGTTTTCTTGAGATCTTAGTAGCTGATCACAACCTAGGCAGAAATTTTCACTGTAGTATTGATGTAAAAACACAACCAAACTTGCAGCAAGCCATAAACTGCTGATCTTAATAACAAACAACACTTTGTTTTCCTTTATTGCCTTTCATCTGGTGATCTCAATGTTCTTTAGGAAAATTAAGTAACTAAAACTCACTGCATATTGTGTGATAGCCATCTAACATTAAAAAAATAAAAAGCCATTTCAGAGTACAAACAGAGGAAACGAACAGCTATAACTCATATGGCAAACTCATCCCTTAATTAAATGTCTTGAATAATTTAATTGGAAAGAAACCAACAAGTCTTTCTGGCTTGCTGTTTGGTTGGGTTTTTTTTCCCCTCTGTTTGTAAATTAAACAGTCACTGGATAAAAGGCAGAAAGTGTAATGGGAATAAAGACAGCAATCCCCAGCCTCCCCTCGCTTTAGGGGTCCTGACCCACTACACAAGAAATCTGTACCACTTCTTGCTTTCTTTTTCCAACCTGTGAATACCAAGCCTCAGAGATCCAAAGGGTCTGGAACACCCCTGCCTTTGGCCTTTTCTTTACACAGTCCCTTGCTCATCATCCAGGGTACCTCTGTCCTGAGACACCCACGCATCTGGGGTGCAGCATCCAGAGCCCCAACCCCACCTGGGGACTAGAAGGGGGACCTCAGGCCTGTAAAGCAAGGTACTTCTGTCCCTCACTTTCAGATACTGGGTTAGGCACCCAACACCTTGAATTGACATGCAAACAGCAGTCTATATGCATCACACAGAAACACTGCCTTTGCTTAACAGAGCTCGAGAACCTTTCACAGGAAAGGATGACAACTACCACTCCAAATCCTGGGACACCAGCACAGAAAGCCTTTGCTTGGTGGCTCCAGTGACCACCAGAGCTTGTTAAGATATTGCATCTAGAGCTCAGACAGGAGCTTTGGACAATCTGAGTCCCATTCCAGGTTAGACACCTCAGCATGGCTAAGTGTGCTAGTGGCAGATATTAGCTGATAAGGCGAGGATCAAAATCTGGCAAATCCTACTAGAGAAAAGGATAACTCATCTCACGAAATACTTAACCGACTCCCAACTTTTTCTGCTTTATTGTAGAGAAAGCACATCAATTCTGAACCATTGACTAAATAAAAAACCTGACTGCATAGCTGGCTGCACTACACAGGGGATAATGGAACCTCTTTTGTACACATTATTAACAAAGATGAAGATAAACTCCGTCGTTCTGCAAGGTTCAACAAACCCCCAAAATTTGCAATGAGGAGTGACTGGAGTGTTCTACCAACAACCAGCTGAATGGCACAGTCCCTCCAGCAAAGCCAGAATAAGTAGAGATGTGAACCCTGAGAGGTCAGCAGCAGCTGCTGTTTCTCTAACAGAAAGAAGCATTGCCTCTAGCCATAACTTACATGTGCAACTGCTTAAATCGTTCAGACCACAAAAATGCACATCACACCCATAGGACTTCAAAAACAATGAAGGTGATTGGAATTTCCAGTGCACTCAGTTAAACACAGTTTTCCTTTAAGCGCTGGGTGCACCTTCCTTCTTCCATCAAAAATGTAGCCAAGGAAGTACCTCAGCCAATGCAGATGGGATTCATCTCTGCCCAGTTCAGCTGCTGGGAACTTAGGCATCAAGACTAAACAATGTTTTTAACCTTCTTCTAAACCCAGGAGGGAAAGGCAGGTCTTTCCAGATTCATTTTTACCTATTGTAGAGAATCTTTGTTAGGATGGAAAGAACCCAGTTCTAGAGCTGAAAATTCCTCTCCAACGATGCGAGAGAGCAAGTGACTTGCTTTTCAGATGGACAGGCCCCAATGACAGAACACCCACTTTGCGGCTTCAGAGAGAGGTATTTGTCATACAGTTAAGATAAAGTCTAAACAGCCACAAAAAATAGTCTGTATTCACATCTTGGATATACAGCTTGTACCCAACAGTGAAAGATCAAGCTAAGACTCTGCTCCTCTCAGCACTTCCTCACATCATTTAAGACCACAAACCAGAGAAAACAGACATTTGCAAAAAATCTACCTGTTCTGTAAGAAATGAAGGCTTGTAAGCTCCATCAGTAGATTTGTTTCCAGTGCCCCTCATTGATTTCATGTGCGAAACGGCCATCCGAAGAATTGTCAGCTTGTCAGGCTTACGAGCCAACGCGCTACAAGTGGGGACCATATCGGACAGCTCGGTGATGTACTGTGTCATCTTATTTCTCCTGCGCCTCTCAATTTCACTATGATTCTCCCTGAACATTTAAAGAAACACCAAACCAACAGAAAAGCAGACATGATCAGTGTAAGAATTCATAGTACTTCGCACTCGTTTTGCCGTTTTCACCCCAGGAGAGCAAAGTGCTTTACAAAGCTAAGTTCTATTATCCCTCAGTTTATAGACATGAAAAACCAGGCCACAGAAGGATAAATACGATTTGCCCATAGCTGTGAAAAGAGGCCATATTTCTAGTTATTGGCTTCTGGCCTTAATCTCTTAACCAGCTTAATATCCTTTGGTTTAAGGACAAAAAAATGAAGTAGAAAGATGTGAGGAACTGACAACTGACAACTCCAGCCAAACTCCCATATTTGCTATGATGCATTCCACAGCTTCCAGTCAGACTTACAGAAAAACCCACTCAATGACAACACTGATCTCCAGTCCTATAATGCTGTGTGGAACATCCTGCATCCCTGCAGGGAGACACTACATGCCTACAGGATCAGACTGCACGACTGGGACCATATATGGTATAATAGTACATACAAAAAAAAAAAGCCCCAGTAAATAAATAAAATGAGTACAAAAGACAGCAAGTAAACATCTGGCTTGTCAAACATAGACCAGAATTTATGTTTGAGAACAATCAACCACAGCAGGGAAATAACGACAGTACTTGATGCTGCCCCACTTTGGGCTGAGCTCCAATGTTCTCATCCTTTATAGCAAACATATGACTGAGGTGGTGAGTCAAAACTGAGGATTCTCAAAATGGACAGTCACCAAAATCTTTCAGAGCTGAAGATCTGAGAATTCAGTTTTCCCCACACTGTAAATCACCATTACTTGCTCATCATTAAGGAATTACACCTACACATACATCTGAAATGGTCCAAATGGACCTAGAACACTTCAGTGCCTAGCACGTATTTTTCCCATACTGTACCTGTCAGGTGGCAGCTAAATACAAGCACACTACAGGTACATGATGCTTCAGATGGCAAAGCAGCATCTTCCACTGATTTCAATGAGCTGTGCATGGCATTGTCTTGTGGGATCACTGGCTGATCCAGCAAGGTGTGTGGAAGGTGATCACTTCACTTGGAGAGTCCACCAGCACTGATGGGTACGGTAACATAACTTTAAAAGAAACTCCAACACTCTTTTATGAAGACTGACCATGAAAGTAGCAGCTAGTCTTGGCATATTTTTTGGCTACTTTTATTAATAGAGCCTTTTCTTAAAATGCAGGAAAGAATCCAAGCTGTAGTATGCTGCTTCCTGAAAGAGAGGGATGCAAAGGCTTTGCCCTGCGTTACAATGTGTGTGCTGCCCTTGCACATATAGGTGCTATAAGCATGAGGCATTGTCTCCAGAAACACCATTTGTTAAGGCTACATGCAGAGTTATTATTCTTAGTGATGACTGTGTTTACCCGCTGGTACTCAGGAAATCCAGCTATGGGTCCCTGCAATGATAGCCCATGGTTGTCCAGGATATTACATCCAGCCCTTTGGTTAAGGTCATGATCTACTAAACTACCTATTACACCATAATAGTGAACCTCTCCATTTCAAATGGCTGATAAAACAGCATTTGTGGGGGGCTGTGCAGATGTAGGAGAGAACAGAGCCCGTGGGAGCTGGATCCTATACACGTGCACAAGCAGAAGTGACAGTGTACACGTACGGGAGAGCACATGTGTGAACATGTCAGCATATATATGCAAAAAACATGGATAAGGGGAAGAAAAATGCATTTTTACATAATGAAAGCTTACTAAGTTCAGCATTTTCACAGAAATGGTGATCAAGAAAAGAGAGACAACGAACACACATTTAATATATATTTTACATTTATAAATACATTTATAAATACAGATTACATTGTTTGCCACTGATGTATTTTAATACTCCTTAACATTGAAAACAACCATTATAAAGAGTAAACAAAGAGATTGAAAAACTTCCTGAGGATAAAGAGAAGAATATTCAACAGTCCATTTCATTTATGATCATAAAAAGTAATAGTATATTAATCAACTGGCCATGAAAACGTTCAAGCAAATAAACCCCTGAAATTTTCCTGAAACTAGTTCAAGTTTAAACTCTTAACAGCAAAAAAGGGGCTGTGCTCCCCTTCCAAAAGTGCCTGCCTTAGGAAACCCGGCATTCATAAACATGTATACAGAATGATGTTCTAATTCTGTCACTTCTAACTTTGTTTTTACATGGAAATTTTGGAGGGACACTAAGTTTTAGGAGACTGCGGGAGCTGATCCAAAACTACTTAGGTCCAGGGTCAGTATTTCCAATTTGAAGCATTTTTGGATCAGCCAACTCTCCTGACTTTTGATCAGTCAGAATGGCATCATATAAAATAAAAATGGGGGCAAATCATATTTTATTTTCCTTTTTCCTACCTGGCCATCCTTTCTGTGTCAGCAGTACTTTGATCATCGTCCCACCTAGAAACAAAACAACCAGCTCTCTAAGCTAAGGCACACCTACTGAGATTTTTTGGGCACGAACATCCCCCTCTTTTCTCTCAGCAGAAGAGCTCTACGGAACACGCCTACCTTGCAAACTTTTCCTTATCACCAGAGATTTGATCACCATCATACCTAGAAAAAAAAAGACAGTAAGTAAATCCACATGGGTTATGCATTGCATGACAGTCAACACACAGCAGAAAGCAAAGAGGTTCACAACTGCAAACTATTACAAGAAACAGCAAGAAAAATGAGGGCATGAGAACGATAAAGCAAAGAAAATGTAGAGTCTGATGAAACTTCCAAGCCATGCCGATTCAAACAGCTTCATTTGTATACTTAAAAAAGTTGGAGACACATTTCAGTGGATTTATGCAAACACTTTGACATACACTCATTGCTTGGGAAACTTAACAATCAGCACCATTACAGAAAACACCACTGAGCTTTTATCGACAGCAGCCCATGAAATATTCATTGCTGTGTTGGAAGTGAAAGAGCTGTATCTTTTCCAGATTGCAACCACAACCCACTCCATTCAGCAGAGGGCACTGATGGTCTACAGATAACACAGGAGGGCAGGGACACACGCTGAAGTGCAATGCATCATTTAAGGACGCCTCCAGAAAAAAGCTCTAGCAGGTACAGACACTGTGCTGCCTGTGGGGAAGACTGGCAAAAGTCAGGCAGGCAGAGGAAACTGCTGGGTAAATAGAAGTGAAATTAAAACTGGCTTAAATCCCTAGAAGTAAACAGGTACCTCATTCCTACCCAAACCACCAGAAGTTAGATGCCCACACAGGTACGTGCCGTGTGTTGGCAGCAGCTCTATGGAGGAAATCCAGATCAATGGGACTTTTGCCTCGTGGGTTTAAAGCTTCACTGTTTCTGAAGCGCTGTCCCAGAGACAGGCAGCAATGTGACATTTTACTAAAAAAATGACATGCTTCTCCTCCTTTTTGTCTCCTAAAAACATACTAATCCTTTGAAATTAGGTTTTCCTAGAATAGTTACAGAAAGACATCTTTTTTGAAAAAGATTTTACTTCTGGAAAAACTAAAATTCTTGTTCCAAAACAGAAAATATAGGCTTTAAAAAATAACTCTAATGGCTTTTCTAGAATTTAAGATGATTACTGCTCAAGAATAGTCAAATTATATTTTGTATTAGAACTAGTTTTTTATTACAGCAGAGAGCCTATGAAGCTACGAAGCTTTCATGCATTAGCTAACAAGGTAATACAGCATAATGAAGCATCTTTTTTCTTCTACAAATCTAATAATTAACTCTTTCCTTTTTTTTTTCTTCTGCAATGAATTAAAACTAATTTTAAGTACCCCAACTGTGCAAGTTCCTCTATGAGGCTTCATATTTTCCTTCCTCAGTAAGACTGATTCAAACTCTGATGAGAAAGCTTAAGTGTGACCTGACCTGTCTTTCTTTCTATGTTGTGTTTAACACCATCACCTTCAAAACATTCAAGTGAAAACACCACTTTATTCCACGCGACACTGCCCAGAGAACAGACTGAGCCCAAAAAATTTCAAACAAAAAGACAGATTCAATGAGGAATGGCCACATGCCGCCATGTGAGAAGTCCATGCATACGCCTCCACGTGACGATGAGATGCCATGCAGAGATACCTGAGCTGGCTTGGAAGTCCCTGAGAAGCAAGATGTGTTAACTCATGTGGAGTATGATACTAACACCACTACGTCCTGTGCTCCACTGGCTTGGGGCTTGTCTATTCATCCTTGTGTAGTTGGCTGGGCTGAAGATGTTATTGCCTCCAACTACTCTTTTCTCCCTTCCAAGCTCCCAGCTGACCTCTCTGTGTGCACGCTTCTTCAGGCACTTCAGTCAAAGCCAGCTGGGTTAGCTTAAACGTTTAAACAGCAGTTCTTTGCCAACCAAATTAATTTTGACCAAGACAAGCTAGGCATCAGTCACGTGATCAATTTGGAGAAGGGAAAAGTCCTAAAAGGAGGGCACAACTAGTAGAGGATGTTGGAACATGGCCCTGGGCACCTCTGCACTCTTTTTCTGTACTCCCTAAAAGCAGAACAATTTGGGTTTTTTGCAGCATTTAAGTTCTAAATATCAGATTTTGATCTGACATCTAAAGATCAACTGAGTCTAAGCACAGCATACCTCTCCAATAAAAATAATGGAACTATCAGCTTCCCACCACCAAACTTTGAAAGGCTGAAACCAGGATGGAGAACAGACCAATGCACATGCACCACTGTGCCGAGAAACCCTGACGCTTGTGGAGGAACAAACACAGTCACGTTCATCACAAATCTTGTTCCTTTAACGTGTATCTTCTAGCAAACTTTATCTTCTAGCCCTCAGACCACCAGTTTTAACACCAGAGACTGGAATATCCTTTCTGTAAACGACATCAGCTAAACAGGGGTGCTGCTGGTCTTGTCCAGTAGGTTATGATACGGTGTTAGGACACATCTTCAGTATACTTATCTTCCAGACTGACTCGGTTAAAACCCTGCAGTGACAACTGGGTTTCAGCATGGCTGCTGCTACAGAGCTGCAGTTACAATTTGGATAATCAAGTTATCTGCAGTATCTACCCCTCGCTGCAGCTGCTTGGTTTCTAATGAAAAAATGCAAACAGTGTGACCAGAAAAAAAGGAAAAGTGGAAAAATGGCAATGATGCTGTAATGTTTGTTTGTATTTCTAGCCTAGAATATTCCACGTTAATTAACATTTATTTTGGCAATTTTTACTATTCAGTCACACCTAATAGTACATAATGAGCTTTAATCTTAAAAAAATAATCCACACCTCTAGGATCTGTCATATTGTCTTAACAAACAGTTAACATCTGAAATAATTTCAAAATAAAATCCATTTTCAGTGGCAGAGAGACAACTTCAGCAATGTCAAATAACCAAAGTTCATCTACAGCAGTTGAAATAATAAGCTAAAAATCACAAGTTTCCTCATTTGACATAGCTGCAGAGCAAAATTATGACACACAGTCAGCTTTGTAAGCCAATAACTACATTAGGCAGATTTCTGCCAGGATGCCTAATTTGCAGAGGAAGCTGATAAAAACTAGTAACTAGAATTTAGGTCAAGTTGTTGGCAAGTTCTTAAGCCACATTCATATTGGCTTTAAAACATGAATAGTGAGACAGTTGTCTTTCTCCACTGGAAGAAGTCAGTGATTTGGCCAACTCTTTGTAAATGCTCACCTTGAAAATTTGCTGGGCCCCTCCCCATCTTCATCATCGAAGTCCATTCTGTAAAAGCAAGATTTCCAAATCAGTAATCATGACGTTGGCAATGGTGACATGAACATTCAAGCCAGAGGTTCTCAACCTTGTTTGATTTATGTTTTGCCTGGAGGTGTTAACGACTGTAGATTCTAGTCTTGCTCATATTCTCCAGACCCCCTAAAAGTAGCTCATCCACTGCCAGGAACACAAAGAGTATAGGCTTTTAAAAAAATAAAGTAATAAATCACTACTCTTCTCCACAGAAATCTGCACTGTTAAAATTAACAAATAAAGGAAATAATAAACAAATACAGTTCTTGTGAGATGGTCAGAAGTAGTATCTCTTTGGCCTGATAGACGCTTACAGAAATCAGTGGGGACGCTCTGTTAGCGACTGAAATTATGGCTAAAGAAAATAAAATTCTAAAGCTGTACACATCATAAACACCAGGCCACTATTCTTGCCCCAGTCTAAAGAAATAGCATGTTAAAGGTTGAGCAGAATAAACTCCCAGCCTCCCTTCTAAGAAGATTATCTGTGTCACCTCCATTGATTGTATCTGTAGTGCGTTCTTTAGACTTGCCCTGTATTACCAACCATTTCACACAAATTACCCTGCAGTCTGCAGATGGCAACTACTTTGTGGTACTCCTGTGGTCATTACTAAAAATGACCCATGGGTCCATCGTGCACCTAACTTACCTGGTTTATGTCCCAGACCTTCTTCTTAAGTCAGTGGAAGAGACAAGCTCTTCCTTGGGCCAAATCTCAGCCCTCCAGTTAGACTCCTCCAAGGAGCCACAAAATGCAGGAACCTCTTTCTTCACTTCTTACACCAAGAGACTAGGAAGATTAGCTTTCTGAATTAGCCACCTAAATTAGTTTCCTCTGTTAGGTAACGTGATTGTATCCTTCCCATTGATATTAAGCCATTACAAAGTTATGCAACAGGATTATTTCCAAAGTATTTTATACATTTTTATACCTTTAAAAAGAGGTGGACAAATACATATCCCAATTATAAAGGAGTGACTCTGCCATTAAGCTGATATAAAAAATAAAAAAATACATTAGTATGATGTACAGACCTTGATCAGTCACTTAAATGTAATTCATGTAGATGGAGAAATCAGTTTTGTTTTGCAAACAATTTTGTCAGGTTTCTTTAACACCGTAAGCATTCTAACATTTCAGTGTAATAAAACTTTATACAGTTACAGATTACGTGTCTCTAACACTCCCCTATTAACAACAGATATGTCATATTAAAGACAAAGGCCCTGAAAAGTGACAGTAATATTTATCTCAGTATTAAAATAAAGCCCTACCAATTAAAAATTAAGATTTGTGTGTTCAGAATGTGGAAACAATGATATAAAAATGCTAGATTTAAGCATTTTTAAGCAAAAGCATTTAAGCAAAAAAGATTTAAAGCTACATCAGCACAGAGAAGCATGAGTGCCAGTTAGGCAATACCTCCTTGCTTCCTAACTTTGATAACCGAGATGGACTGGCCTATAAAAGATGTGTCTGAGTCACAGCGATCGACGTACAATCAGCACAAGGGCAGCAAATAAGCACAGGAATTGGAAAGTGCATTAGAAAAGTCACAATAATATTTTCCAGATGGTAATAGCGATTATTCATTTCTAGAGGAAGCAGAGGGAAAACCATTTTCCCCAAAGAGTCTTCAGAAAAGATGTGTATTTAATTTGGTTAAGATTGATGCAATCGCCGTTTTCACTCTAAATCACATTTCTGCTCACCTAATTATCGCCAAATGCGGTTTCAAAGCCAGCGCCCTCCCCGCTGCCTGGTGCGGACCGACACCGACCTCCAGCGGCAGCGCCCCGGCCCGTGCCCCCTCCCCACCACCGCTCACCCACCCCCGGCCACCGGCACCCCGAGGGTGGACTCCAGCACTGGCACCTCCCCAGGCCTGCTGCACGCACAGGACTCCCAGCCATTTAACATTCATCATCTAGCCCAAGGTCCCCTCTTACCTACCTGCTTCTTCCTCACGTATAACAACGTGCCTGTAGGTGACATCCCAGAACAAGCTTTTGAGGGATTTCAATTGCAACGTTCCTACCCACACCGAAAAGGTGAAAGCCAGCGTTACAGGCAGAGGGGGCATGCTGGGAGCAGCACTGGGCTCCCCCCGAAACCACTGGCAAAAGCATCACACCAGGCTTACCCTTCACTGATTTCACCCACAACTGAAACATGACCGAGAGAGACCCTCAGTTTCAAACTCGAGGGAAAAGGACTGCAGAAAATATATACACCTGTGGGGAAAAGACTTTTCTTCAGGGGTTTAATATGACACTGCTTTAATTTGGGATGGATTAATTTTGTAACTCCTTTTCTTCCCCTCCAATACACTGAGATCCTGTGTCTTGGATTCTTAGCTTCCAGCCAAATACTCCAGCTGCGTGCTGAGAGATGGATTTCCCCCCCAGAATTAAATATTAGCTCTACTGCATGTAGTCTAGTGTATTATTACTGGAATGTAATGCAGAGAATTACGGAGACCCTGATGACAGTTTACGGCTCGATCCTGCTGCCTGCGCTATGTGCCCACCTCCAGAGGAATAGCAGGACTAACACACCTCTTCACCCAGGTGGCTGGGTACCAGCTTCTCATCTTATTAAATCTAAATGGGTTAATATCCATAGATAATACCTACCACATTTATAGCAGGCTCATCACAGCAGAATCTGAGTGCCTAGGGTGCAACACCACGCTGTAGCAGACTAAATCTTTAAATAACTCATTTGCTTTTTTAAACTACCCCAAAATCTTGACTTGATTCCAAATGCAAGATTACAAAGAAATAAGAAATTAAACATAAAATTCATAAACAATGACAATATTTGTAAAAATGTAACAGCAAATATATCTCTGTCCCATCTGTGTTAATAAATACATTTCCTAATTTCACGTTTCACTGTGCAAAATGAAAAAGCCTTTTCAACCCTGCACTTCCCCCCCAAATGAAAAATCACAGGTATAAGGTCAGTGATTCCGATGTCCTGCCTGAACCACTGCATGTGCTCTACAGCCAGGCAGAATGAAAGATAGGGAATCAGTTGTAACCTCCAGTACAACATATAAAAATATTATTCCAACAAACTCCTCATACCCTGACAGATAAGATCTTCTGTTCAGATAGAATATATTGCACTTTAGCAAAAGAGTAGAAGCAGCTTCCAAGAAGACAAATGACATCATTTCACAAGTTTCAGAAAGAGTATCTTTTTTCTTCATTTAAAATTCCCATTAAAGAGACTTTAAAAAAGAGCTGCACTATGCTCTTTTGTTTTGAAGAGACAGCATAGATCTTGTTTTCCTCTTCACACTGTTCATGTCAATCCTGAAAAGGCCTGATGTATGAGGTACTTATTAAAATATATTTTCCTCAAAAGATGTGTGGGTACCATAAATACTGCAACAAAAATATATTTCAAAATTATTTCTTTTTAATTAGAAATACTTTCATACCAAAAAAAGAACCAACCCCAGAACACAAGAAGGTGGTCCTGCACAGGTTAAAAAATGTAGATGGGAGACGATTTGAATACTGAAACAAAATCATTATGTTAAAAATCCCAAGAAATGTCAAAAGATGCCTGGCCATGATCACCCAGGGTAGGAAGGGGGCAGGCAGGGAGGATGAGGAGCAGATGCAGCTGAGAGGCAGATGGGGATCTGTAGTAGAGCCCTTTGTTCAGTCCAACATCGGGGGGTACACCAGGGGAGGGAGGGAGGGAGAGAGGCCAGTGGGCTGAGGTCTCTTCCTCCCTACATCTCCCCAGATCTTACAGTTCTGGTTCAGAGAAAAGACAAGACCACAGGCTGAGCTGAAAGAAAACCAATGCGACTGTAAACCAACCAATCAAAAAAACCCCCAAACCCTCCCTTCCCCAGCACAGATAACCTAGGAAGGTTAAAAAAGCCCCATATCCTCTAATACAGCAAAGCCTTAAGGAAAGAATTGACGTTTCGTTAATCTAAGGTAGTCACTGACCACTGAAATGCATTACCTTACGCACTACCAGGCTGTCAGCTTTTTCTATAGAGTACTTGGTATAATTTATAGAAAGGAAAAATATTTTTCCAAGCTGTCAATGCAGCCAAATGCCTACACCGCAGAAACACCACCTGGGTAGCCAATGAGTTTAAACTGATCTACATTCAAGTCCATACAGCAATTATTCTGCCAGCTTGCCTCAGCAATTATGAGAAAAGAAACAATTTTCAGAGATAACCGAAGCTGGAAAAGATGACTCTGTTCACTCACTGCATTCCTTTATGTCTGACACAAAGCATTCATTTCTAAAATGCCCAAGGATTTAGGTGTGCAAAGACGTATCTCCAGGACAGTAATGAAAGGACCAAGTGTTAGTTGCAACTTTGTTCAAAGAGAAGCTAGGAGGAATTAGACACAGCAGGCATTCTTTCCCTCAAGGTCTGAATACATACACGCTGAACAACAACAAAAAAAATAAAAACTGCACCCTCAGCTCAGGCTTGGAGAAGGGCTATTAGTTTAGAGCTGTGGTGCACAGATGAAATGCCACCATCTGGGTATAACAGCAAATCTATACTCTCTTACTCACTGAATTTGCATGTTAAATACATTTAAAATAATTCGGTTTTCTGTTCCTCCCACCCTCCCCCCACTCCACTTTCTTGCAAGTAGATGATGATACTTAAAGTGCGATGGTTAAAGCATTGCTTTCAATTAATATCAACTCGGTATTTAATATAATCAGAAGATTTCGCAGTCAGCAGCATCAACCCTTTGTAACAGTAATTTCCAAACTGGTATTTGCAGTTGACATGGTTGATGATCAAAAAAGAGATCAATTATCCTGCAACTCAAAAGTACAAAAGTTTATCTGTGTTATATAGCAATGAAAAAATGCTAATGCTTTGTTTTCTGTTTTGAGTACAAGTTTGAAAAGGTTTTTTCATTGAACAGTTTCAAAATAAAAATGCAATGCCTGTCAAACACAGATTTCAGGAGTTTCTCAGACCAATTTCTTAATAGTTCAGCATATGGAAGCACTCTCAGTGGGGGGAAGTCCCCAAATTATCCTGTCTGAAGGAACCCCCTCAGAAGGATCATCCTGAACGTTCAGGTCACACCAACTTAACTCCACACCCAAGGCAAGGTCCACCTTCTCCCGGCTTAATTCACTGCAGGACTCAGACTCCAGTACTGTTACTGGAGCAGACACCTAAAACAGGCAACGTACCTCGGTGAACAACCCCTAGAGTAGCTCTCACAAGGAATAATGTCTTCTCCTCAGGTGTCCATCAGCGACGATTTTACTCACACTATCGATCCTGTCAAGTCCTACTGCTGTCATATTTAGGGCTAAATATAAGACTTATCAATTCCTTTGGCAGGCACTCTCAGATCAGAGATATCTCTGAGAAAGCATCACAAAAGATCTCTATTTGTGACCAACCTTTGATAAAAACAGGGGTTTTTTTGTTAATACCAGAGAGTCCTTTTCTGCTCTTCTGCAACTCTTTGCACACTTTTCTCAAAGGATCAGTATGAGTTCCTACAGAGAAATTTGATGTGGAAAAACTATCCCTACACCACACCAACCTCTGCAGTCAGATAAAAAAGATTTTCTTCTTTAGCAGAGCCATCAAGCTCGTGCACGGGATGAACTTGAGTCAGGCTCTTTCTCCCAGAATCAAAGAGACTATGCTGCACTTCCACCAAGACCTAGAATATTGTAGACCACAATCTCTGAAGAGTGACTGCTTGTGCTATTTCTGTACCTGGGACTATAAAAGAAAACATTTTCAACAGAAGGCCTTTATTTGGGAGATTCCAAGTCCAAACTTCTGATGAAGTTGGATAAGTCCACATGTGCAAGTAAGAACACATCTTGCTACCTTTATTCACATGACAAATGCTTTTGAGATTAAACAGATGCAGGCAACACGCATTCATTACATGTACAACAGCCACGGGATCCAAACTCTGTTTCTGGATGATTTGCCAAACCTGAAAGCCTTTTGAAGTGTGCAAAACAACAAACAATACACTTATCAGCAGGTTGGATCTTGCAGGAAGAGCAGATACATTGAAGAGAAAAAACAAGCCAACAGTGATTAATACCATAATGTAGTTTACACACGCAAACATTACATAGTCAACACACACAGATAGGTATATTTTCAGGTTTTTGGTATCAGTCATTTCCAGTTTCAGATCTGTAAAAAATTGAAACAATGGCTTACCCAGAGCGGCGCTTTCCTCCTCTGGAAGGCATGGATCCTGCCATTCTCACTTGCCCACTTGCCATTGGTGCCACCGGCAAGGCCACAGAGCCAGGAATATCTGATGCCATTTCTGTAATGCAGGGGTAGGGAAAGAGAAAGGAAAAGAAAATAAAATATTCCTTTAATCCATTACCTTCAAGGAGAAACCTGTGATGACAACATTAGAGAAAGGTCTTTTCAAAAATAAGCAGAGAAAGCTTTCCTTTTTATTTCTAAGAAAAAGTAAAGGTCTCCTATCAAAGACCAGGAGATTCACAGTTCCCTTAAGAGAAGCCCGGTTCTGTCAACAGCCATTACGAATGCCTTGGGAGACAGAAATAATCACAGGTAGGTACCTCTGTATTTCAATCTACCTAATGTTTCTAATTTTACTTCTCAGAGGGGCTGTCAGATGAAGGATAACAGCCTTTTTACAGTAGTTAAACTGCCCTGTTGAAAAATGCAGAGCTGAATTCCCAAGAGAAATGAAGCTGTGGATCATGGTACCAGGGTACCAAGAAAAACTTCAAAAACTTGTCAGTTTGCCAGTGAGGTCAAGAGTTTAGAGCAGGGATGAATGATCAGGTGACACTGTTTTTTATTCTGGTGGCATTCAGAGGACGAGATTGATTGCAAGGCTTCCTGGATTTCTGTGTGGTGCCTTGCAAAGCAGAACCAAGCCCAAAATCCAGGCTGATATTCATTCCTCTGCCAGTGCTCTGGGTGTAGCCACAAGTTAATGAGATCTCCAAACCTCAAAGCTTTGATCTGAGGAACAGTAAGAGCACACCTTACACAACAGTTTCAGACCGCTAATGGCAAGTACTTTTACAGCTTATTAATAACAGGTCATTACACTTCAAAAAAGAAAAGTGGAATATAATATATTTATACTGGTTTGCCCTATCCAATGGATTAAGCATGTTTTGCCTCTGTGCAACTCTTGTAAACTATGTAAGCAATTAAAACTTTTTTAATGAAGCTATCCTATACTCACTCTGGAGGTAAAAACTACAGTCACAACATTTAATTATCTTGAAAGAAAATGCATCCTCCTTCCAACTTCATTCCTTTTTTTAAACTTGGCAGAGCTACAGATAAATATATTTACTAATAGAAAGTAAATCTTTTAAAAATCCTGCTATTTTTTTCCCAGCAGGTAAGTACAAAAGAACTTCAATTATGGGAACAGGAATCCAAGTTCTTTCATTGTCTGCAGAGCACTTCATTTCTGCCACACTTTATATAAATCCATTATGCATTTCAAATAATAACACTTTATCTGTTCACTGATTTCATTATTTTCTTCTAGTACATTTACTTTTATTATCCCCTTTTCAGCTAGAAAGCAACAGAGCAAAGTACTCATCCAATATTTTTCAACAAAGTGTGCAAGGACAAACAATGAGGTCTCTACCTGCAACACCACACCATGGAAAGTCCCGCTGTGTCTAAAGCTACTGCTATGTGGAAACACTACATTAATTTATATTAATATTTCCATACAAATAAAAGCATAAGCATCCAAACAACTGGTAAATCACTATTTCCAGAATAAGTACCCTTAGCAGTCTAATGCCAGTGATTCATTTGGAACATTCAAATTCATATTTCATGGATAGAACCGAAGGTCATTTTGTAATGCTCTGCTCACTCATTTACTAAAGCAGATGGTAAAACCCATAATAAATCTACCTGCAAAGTGTCCCTGTCATTCAGAAACACATTTCAGTATAGATCTTCAAGATCAGATTATTTTTTTTAAGTAGTAATTGTAAAACAATTTCAGATCAACTTTGAGCAGTATTTTACAATACAATATTTGTAATTGCGATGAGCTGTTCGTGTAACCTCATTTTCTTCAATCTAAGACAAAGATGATGAAAAACGAGGCCAAGGGTTAGATTCATCTACTCTTCAAAGTCTAAAACCTAAAGCTATTTATTTAAGGTAACTTTACAGATCACTAAAAGGGAAACAAAGCACCATCCTTGCAATTATTATGCATTCCATGCTTAGAGGTACATCCAAAATAGTTTGAGTCATCTTCTTTCTGTAAGACTCCTGCTCTCACCACTGACAACTCAGGGAGACCTAGGGAGATAGTTTTGATCAGATGTCCAATTTAGGTGGTTGCGGTTAGGCAGAACGAGTTGGTTTTCTGCTCCTTTGCTCAGCTTTAATGTATGAACACATAAGAGGCAAGAGTACTTAGTGAGTTTAAAGTAGTAAGGAAAAACAGAAACTGTGTATTTTTGGTAAGAAAAAAAGAAAAAACAAAGGCTAGAGGAATGGTCAAACCACAGGCTCAGTTATATCAGTGAGCAAAAACACCTGGAAGAAAACATTCTGCAACAAATATATCATCTGTCTATCAGAATACAAGCTGAAGAGTTTCTGTGTAGGTAACTCGAATCTCTAGAATGGCACATCAAACAAAATAGCCTTCAAATATATTTTCACAGTCCTGGGAGAACAAGACCAAGCTTATTGAGCCAACCACTCTAAAAGGATGTCTTCAAAAATTTCCATTTCCAAGATATAAGCACAAGAAGGAGAAACAAAAATAATCAGGGGATCCACATGCATTTATCCATGTGAAAGCTCAACTATGGGGGAGGAAAAATTCAGGCCCTTCAAATCAGAACACTTTCCATTATGCAACAGTCTGAAGGTGTGACAGACCTGCACATACATCAATGTGTAAGACACCCCATTTACCTTTCCACTTCAGAGTTTCCCATGTCAAAGAGACAGCAGCCATTGTGTGACCTACTGCACCTTGCACAGGACCCTCAGGGGCAGACATACACAGCTACCAAAAGCAGTCAGCTTTCCCAGATATCTTTCCTGACACAACAGAATTGGAGTTCTGCAGATGGAGAAACCAAGAGGGTTGGGTCTCTTTCAAGCCACGTAGCAAATACAGCAAAGAAAGCATCTCCAAGAGCAACATCACCATGGAGCATGGAGCACCTGGAACATGACCTGCCTTAGTGAAAGCAGGTGAAGCTCCTCACACAGCGCACAAACAGTGACACCAGAGCACTACAGGAGGACTTGAGGGACAGAGCTGACAAATCGACTCCATTGTTCAGCTGCAACCAACTGGGTGTTGGAAGTCATGTCAGCACTGGATGGCTGTGCAGAAAAACAAGTACTAAGACCGTGGCTATGAAAATTCCACTCACAAATGGAGCAGCTCCCTGCTGTGGGCTGCAAGAACTTCTGGGGAAGACCATGGAATGGATCTGGGCTGCTTCCCATCTACTCAGCTGCATGCATCAAAAGCACCACATCTTTGATGATATTTTTCCATTTATAAAAAGGGCTGGTCAGAAAACTAGAAACATGTCATCTCAAAAAATGAGGGCAGATCTGGGAAGGCAGAGCCAGAAGAAAAATCTGATGGAAGAGTCAGCTGCTTTTCTGACTAAGCACCTGAGAAGTGACCTGTCTGTGCATGGTCTGGGAAGAAAACAAGAGAGACAGAGTAAAAAAGACACCCATAGACTGGAATCTCAGATAGAAATATTGTGGTAGATAGGTATCCAGGGAGCCTATTACCATAAAATAAAACAACGCAACAAAAGAAAAAATAAAAAAAGGAGTCTGGATCAGACACAGACCTGAAGAAAAAGAAATCAGAAGAGTAACCTGCAATTGTGTAAAGTTGCATCAACATAAATTTAGGGCAGCCTCTCGAAAGTAAATGAAGCTACTCTGTTGTAGCATAAATTAGCATGAAAGGCCAGCACTGCAGAAGCAGGTGTCAAGTTGGTTATATATATATTTTTTGGGGGGAAAAAAGAAAAGGATGGACATGCTGGGTTAACAATCAAAAAGATCACGTTTCCAGGCTCATCTACACTCATGTCCACACAGATGTTAACACTGATGTTCACACAAGTGTTTCAGCAGCAGTGAACATTAGGAAACAAGCTGTTCTCTCTCTGAGGTCAGACCTTCCGAGAGTGGACTTTCCTTCTGCCAACAGAAATAAAACAAGTGTTGCTTATTTTACCCAAAATTAAAACATGAACATAAGGGTATAATGCTCAGAAAGTAAAACAAGGTCAGGCTTAACGTTCATGAATATCATCTATAAGCACCAAGGCAGTTTTCTGAAAAAAAAATAAAATAAGTTCCTTAGTGTCAAATAGAAATCACTTTGCTGCTACAAAAATACACATAATATTTAATTTCAAAGTTAGAAAGTTACCTAGAGATCTGCCAAAGAACACACAAATGCTATTAAGAAAAATGCAGCACAACACTCACAGTCTTTTGTGGATATTCTTCCAACCAGATGACACCTAACAGCTCTTGTCTCATCGCTGTCATGCCTAGGGACAGGCCTGATCCTGCCACTAATACTCATGTTCATCTTGGGGATCCCTGAGAAGCCACACTAATCCAGGGACAACATCAGTGCTCAATGTAAAAGCAGCAGAATTAGTCCCTCCATTTCTGTCCAGAATTAATTTCACTGCTGATCACTCTGTGCTTGGATATTAATTACACTTTCCTCCAGCACCACGCGTAGGTCACCCCCAAAATATTCAGGGATCTTTTTGAAATAAAAGACAATCTGCAAATTTAAATTAAAAACATAGGGATAAAATACAGGGAGTTATTCCAAATAAATTCCGTGTTCATCTCAAACTTTGTTATAGAGATCTGTACAAAAACCAGCTACTGTGCACTTCACAAAGCAAAACACAAAAAGCCAGCTAAATTCTGCACAATAATACCGTGAAAGTGCATGTGAACCACAACAGCAAGAATTACTTGATGGTGCAACACTCCAGGATGAGCCTGGACTTCACTTTTTAGGCAGAGAATTATTAAACTACGGCTCTTAAACCCAAACTTTAAATCTCAAGCTCCTCCTCAGACCCACCGCCTGGAATGTAGCTCTAACTCATCTCTGACAGGAATTTGCGACTTGCTGAGCCATCCCCCAGGGAAGCCCAGCTCTTTGGCCAGGTGTCTCCAAGGCTCCGGAGATGGCATCTCCTGCTCTGTTCCTCTCCAAAAACCACAGCCCTACATCTTGCTGCGAAGCCTTGAAATACGACCAGACGTCGTGCATGACGAGACTTTGTAAATCCATCTTACAAAGGGTCCTATTACTCACATTATTTTCAGCCACTTGTGCTATACTGCCCCCACCAACACACACCAGGCATGGACAGGGCCAGGTTTGAACCTGGAGCCCACTGGAGAAATGCTTTCACTGACTTCAACAGACTTTGAATCCCTGACATTAACTTTAATGACCAGTTCCAGGTTTGCTATTACATGTTAGGTACCACTGAGCATGCTCTCCATAGGGCTCTTTCATCCTTCAGTGTTTACTGTAATAAATGGGATTAAAGTCAGATACCAGCATCTGATTAAATGAAGGAGATTCTACTTTTATCAATACAAGTGTGACAGATTTCCAACCGCTAATCCATAGAACGGCTGAGATGTCAATCACCTCCAAGTAAATGTGGATCTAAGGCTAAGTACAGAATTACGAACGTGCCCTCTCCTGTATACAGCATCATACACAGGAATTGTAAACGTTCCAAGAAAGCAGATCTCAAAAACTTCTTTGGAAATTGTATTTTTCCATATCCTGAAGTCATACGGGAGTTAGATGCGTCTCAGCAAAAAGGTTTGATTGCAGTCAATTGCAAAGGGGATTTTTCTGCCTAGCACAGAGACATTTAAGAATAAACTAATTTGTATCTCTTACTTTAGAAGATGCCAGTGAAAATATGTAGCCATCAACTAGCCAAAAAAATTTCACAGAAATACCTATGCTAAAATCTAGCTGTATATTCAGTCACTGCTTCTCCATGTTAGCTACGGAGATTATAAAACAGAGCTCACTCTCAGAGAATATGAAAAATCAAACATTTTCATTGTTCCTCATAACTCTGTTAATACCATTTTACTTGCATTCCATTGACAGATACTTTAAATAGACTCCACATCAGAAAGATCTACTGTACAGAGAGGATACGCAGAAAAGCAAAAAACATTCCTTTCCATGCTCTTAACACAATTACGATAACAAATAAATCAGGAAATATAATAAATCCCACCTTTAAGGAAGACTCCTACAAAGATCCTATTTCTTTCCTGTGAACAAAACCTTCTTGGGGAGAAATTTTATCCGCATATAAGAAGTGTCAGAAACCTCTGGGAAGAAATGTAGCAGCATTGGTATTCTGCTCAGAAAATGTCATCACAGATCTGTTTACCTTAACTGTGGACCATGATTCAGCCGGTGACAACCGTCTTGCATACTGATCAATTTATTTGCAGCAAAATTACTAACATTTTCTACTTTAACCATTTAGGTTCTGGAAACAGCTACTAAGACAGGGAGGGCTTTTATGAATAATAGATAAATCCTACTTAATTCAAAAATTTCCCCTCCACCACAATACCCTGTATTTGGGGTGGGAGGGGGGGGGGTTCCCCCCAAAATCCTGAAGAAAAATGAGGGCATACTGTGAGCAGTTACCAGAGAAACGCTCCCTTTTTTAGAATTAAAATCAGAGCTTTATCATCTGCCTGCATCACAGGTGAATGTTAAGTATATATGAAGGGGGAGGGAGATGGTGCAATTAACCTGATCATTTTTTGGGGGGACTGTCTGTCCAGCAGAGACAGTGACAGACCATTTAAGAGAGGGGCCTTACTGGTGGTCAAATCAATTTGACTACTGGTCAAATCCAGTTATCTTGCCCACTGCCCTTTCTGCTGTGACTCTGGAGGAGATGCCAACGTTAGTGCAATGTGACTAATCTAAGAGCTATCTACCATATCTACCATCAGTAGACTGGGAGAGCAGGTTCTGAAGCCAAAGAGGTAAAATCCTCTGTGGTGCCTCCATACTTCACTGTTGCATCCACACAACCCATTTGTGGAGTCCTGGAATCTCAGCAGAAACCGTACTTTTTTGCATGCCCAGCAACACCACCAGGATGTGCAAAAGAAGGTGGGATGCAGACACTGAGTTAGAACAGAATTAGAAGTACACCTTGACAAAGAGAGTTTTGGTCTACTTTAGGGGATTTCTTGCTTTAAGTGCTCAGCTGGAGGGACAATGTAAGACAGATACCTTCAAGATGAGCAGCTGAGAAAATCAGGGTTCTCTAAAGAATCCAAAACCAGGCATGCAGAAAACATGGCACCCAAAAACCCAGTTGTGGAAATGTCAATCTTACAATTTGTAACACCAAAAATTATTTCATACAATACTCCTAAGTGATTTTGAATGCTACTTTGACAACACTTCTTATTTTTATTTCCAGGGACATAAGAAAAGGATGCAGTTCATATTCTTGCTCTCAGCCTGAATGACCAACAACCCACATACAACTGAATAAAGTCAGAATGGCCTTTAGCATGATCCAGAAGACCTGGAGTCACACATCTGCACCTACTGCAGAGACTGTTATAGACTAAATATTCGATGTGAAGCCCAGAAGATGCAAATTACTAAGCTTAGGTTGGGAAGAAGGGAAACGGTGGCTGCTCCTTCATTGCTCCTATCTTCCTGACAAATGCCGTGGCACCAATTCACCTTCTCACGCATGTCCATGCATTTTTCCCTGGCTGTTTTTCCACTTCTCATTCATAATTCCATGTTATCTCTTCTCGACCTATTCAGCCTCTGGCTTAAGATGAACTATTTCTTGTACTCCCTCTAATACAAGCCAACACATGTGACTGCTGACCATTCCCCTCAAGAAAAAGAGGTTGCTGGAATTCAAAATAAGGAGGAAAGATTAAAAAAGAGGTGTTAATGGCTCTTGTTCTGAAAGCATGTCTCTGGTCTCTGAAAATAATAAACCCCCTCAGAATCAAAACAAGGCTTCTATCTTCACTGTAGAATGAAGACAGGTACCTGAACCTAAGTGCCTAGCCTGGTCTAAAATTTCAAGAATCCTTCTCACTGCAGAAGTGGAAAATTTAACTCGGACAGAAAAGCACCCAGGTCTTTACAAAATTATAATGGATAAATGCATTAGAAGAATAGCGCTTCTCGTATCTGAAGCCTGGAAGTGCACCAAAAATCAGGCTAGAAGCACATCCAAGGATCTGGACTATATTCCATTGAAAACACAACCTGAGCCTCCAACACTCGGCATGTCTCTCAGGTATAAATAGTCACAAGTGGGAAAGAGCACACGCAAATCAGGCAGGGAAGGAGGGCAACCACTGTAAAAGGCCAGTCTGCAGACAGGATGAGAATCTGGCATTGAAAGGCTGTTTCAGGATTGATGGCACCTTTATTAAAAGAAGAGAAATGGGTCCTTAGCTTACATAAAGGGTCACAGTGAAACCAGCCAACAGCAGCAGGATCATTTATGCTGTCTGAATGTGACCCTACCTTGTCTTAGGCTGGTATATACATGATCATTCACTGACACAACATCATTCTTCACTTAACCATTTTCTGCCCTAATTTGCCCTGGTTATATTGATATTATTAGCGATATGTGGCAAAAGTACTAAATAAATTGCAAAAAAAATTAGGCTCCCCAAATCATGCATCATTTCCATTTGAAATGAATGGTGATCCTCCCTCCTCCTCTGACATTTTGCATTTGCCAAAAATAACTGCATAATTATAAGTTGAGTGCAAGAAACAGAAGGTAACATTCAAAGTTATTTTCCATAATTTTACATAGCATCAGAACTACCAAATACCGTATATGGCTGTTCTGTTGTGCAGAAGTGGCCAAAGCTAACCCATTAATGAACTCACAAAAACTGTAGAAGCACACACCCAGCCTGGGCAAACAAGCACGATGAAAAAATAATAATGTGTAATGACTTTCCTTCAAGTTTCTCAGAGACATATCACGCTCAGTCCATTAACTCTTCATTTAACAAGTCTGTTTCATTTAGCTTGTTTTGGTTGGCATTTGATTAGAAATTCATGTACAGGACATTTTTCCCCCTTTTTTTAAAACAGAACACTTGCTGTATTTCAGCCAGTAAAACACCAGGAGGTAAAGTGGAAGCTGTAAGAGAAGCTAAAGCTACACTAAAGCCCGGCACAATAATACGGAATCAGGCAAAACACCTGCACATGGCCCTGCTCCACAAGATTATCACTAATTGTTTTTTAAAAGGGTTTGGTAAGACTTGTTGCTCAGTAGAAAAGCCAAGAGTCAACTGAGTAACTCTCAATTTGTTCCAGTTCAAGTTAACAAAAACAACACCCAACACCATACCATCAGCTTTACTGTAACTCCAGTTACGTCCAAGTTCTGTCACAGCTGCCTCTGCATTGCTAAGACTTGCTGAGATTGCTCTTCTGTCTACACAGAAAGAAAAGCCCTCTCCTTCAACCATTCCTCATTTCCCACCCTGCTCAACATGAGGTCTCTTGCTGACCACCCTCACTACTAGGTGTAGAAAACAGAACAGCTAAACCTAGATTCCTTCTCCCACTCTGTTGCTTGTCCCCTCATGGGAGCCCACCCAAAGCCTGTCCTCTCCTCAAGGGTAATGTAAAACTGTTTCAGCCACCATCAAACTCTCCCACAACTTGTACCTTTTTCATCTTCCAGCACCCTTCCTACTTTTGCCAAGCCTTCCTGACCAGTCACGACTGCCTCCGGATGCCCCAAACTCCCCGCAATGGGAAGCTGTGGATGCTAGAAGTTTATATGGATTTTAGTAGAGCCTGCCCAAAATTGCAGAAAAGAAATCCACTGAGAACTACAAAATACAAATGTCATGCCTGGCTCAAGAAGCCTCTGAGTCACACATGGCTGGAGTGTGGGAAGGTACCCAGGGGAAGCCCCACACATGCTTGCTCTGATTTTTTTATACTCCTTCAAGTACCCACTTTTGGGCCAGTGCTGGAAAAGCCATGCTAGGCTTGAAAAATCTTTCTTTTGGGACAGGACAGAAACTTTTTACATCATGAGAAGGGGAGGCAACATTTCTCAAGTGTGTTTCTTCTACAAAGGTAAGAAATTGGCCACCTACCACTATTAGTTTATTTCATTAACAATCAAATGAAGCATTTTCCACAGTATGCCCTTGCTCTAGATCTCTGATTACTAGTTTTACATAGTCATTTCTATTTGTACTTCCCAAACTCCTCATCTTCATTTCCCTGTTCAACACGATAATTGTTAAAAGATGTTTACAAGCTAATATCCTTTTATAAATTTTAATGCAATTGTTATATCACAAATAAATAATAACAATGAGTGCAGATAAACTACTGAGCAGTTACTCTGTCATCGAGACTTCATTTTTATTCATTCATCTTCAAATTATTTATTTGAAATAATATTTCTATTTTCTTCTATCAAGAACTCTGGCTTTTTACTGTCTATCTAGCAAATTTTTGTCAACAATATAAGTTAATTTAGATTTCAAGCAAATAGCAGTGCTCGATGGCAAATCTATTTTGTTCATGTAGAAATTCAACTGTCAATTTGCAGAAATAATTTTGAAACTGCTATTAAAACACTTACAACGGTATACACAAGAAAAACCCCACCAAGATCAATACTGTGGTCCTCCAGAGTTCACATCATAACAAGATGACAGTGCTCTAAACTTCTATCAACTACATAAAACATACTGAATAGCTGTAAATATGCAATGAAATAAAGGTAATGGGTAATAAATCTGCCTACAACTTTGACCAAAACTGATCTTAAGTAAATGCAGATCTGGGTTAGCCCAGCTTTCCCAGGAATCTAAACCTCTTTCTCAACTATTCTGCTTTTCCTCTCTACCCAGAAATGAACAGAATTCACAGGAAAGTCATTTTATCCGACTTGAGAGCCAACACCACTTGATTCTTGTTCATATTTTTTGTTAACTGCAATAGAAGCCTATTTCATGAGCATGCAAGGCAGTATTTATGACTACAACTTTTGGTTCAAGTTGGAAGAACTTTGACAACATATTTCTTAGATAATGAGCAGAGATGTTTTAATGAATGAATTCATTCCTGGTCCTCTCATAATTGTTCCACATAAATATTCTTATAATCCATTTTCATGGAGGTGGACAAGCACATTAAGCAGGCTAAGTTCACAGGTGAAAGGACTTACAAATTTGAAAATCCAAGGAGCCACACTGAGACAGAAGTGGTATCTTCCACCTTACCTGCCTACTACAACAGAGCATGGGTCAATCACCAGGATGAATCATCTCTGGTAGTCATCGTATTGAGCCAAGTCATGGAAGGGCTGGTAAGGAAGACCATGAAAGATCTGCATGACAT